GTATGCTCAAAATATCTGAATCTTGAAAAAGAGTAAGTTGCAGCTAAGTGATGTATGCGCTTTTATTTTCGCCTTTCTAATGGCTGAGTAGGTCACTTCAAAGCATGTCAGCCAAGTGCGAGACTGGGATCACAACAGACCAGACTGGGTAAAGGCGCAAAAGGTTTCCTTTCCTCTAGCACATTAGTACACATAACATTTGCTAATATCAGCGTTTGAAAAAAAAAAATGAGTTGTAATTTAGATTTAAACCAAAATTCTTGGATTAGTACTGTAATCAGTATCTAAGTGATTCTCGAATTCTTTTGGTTGAAGAGCCCCTTTTCAACTGGATTGGTAATCATGAGTGTCTCTATTCAAATATTAATCTGTAAACTCTTTGTATGCTTATGTTCATCAGTATTCTGTTAGAAGGATTTGCATTAGGTTTTCTGGGACTGACTGATATAATGAGTATTCATGTGATTCTGTTTTTGTTCATGGGATGTGGGTGCTATTGCCCATCCCTAATTGTCCTGGAGAAGGTGAGTGAGTTGCCTTGACCTACTGATGTTAGGGAGTTTCAGGACCCAGTGACAGTGAAAGAATGACTGCATATTTCCAAGTCAGGATGGTGAGTGGATTGAAGAACTGTTAGGTTATGGTGTTCCCATGTGTCTGCTATCCTTGTCCTTCTAGGTGGCAAAGATCACAGATTTGAAAGGTGCTGTTTGAAGAGCCTTGGTGAGATACTGCTGTTAATCTTAGTTGGTGGTACACCGTGCTGCCAATTTGCATTAATGAAGAGAGTGAATCATTCAGAGGGTGGTCAAACTGTCGAATTCTGTACCACAGGAGGCTGTGGAACCAAGTCATTGAATATATTTAAGAAAGAAACAGATGTCCAGAGACCAAAACTGTCGAGGGGTATGGAGAGAGAGCGTGAGTTATGGCATTGAAATAGAGCTTTAGCCATGTTTGTGTTGAAAGGCAGAAGCAGGCTTGATGGGCTGAATGGTCACTCCGGTCCTGTTTTCTATGTTTCTATGCTGATATTGTGCATTAGAGCCTCTTCTTCATCCTCCACTAGGATGGTGGGGAAAAGCTGCCTTCCTCTAGTCATTTATCTTCACATTGTGGCATCTGTAAGTTGAGCTTCCTTCTTGCAGTGTCTGCTTATAGCTAACCCCAAGCTCAAACTTATTTTGTATATGCCAATGATAGGGTAGAACTTTCTGTATGTGCTCGTACAAAAACAAAATACAAAAAATGCAGGAAACATTCAGCAAGTCTGGCAACACCTGTGGAGAGAGAAACAGAGTTAAAGTTTTCTTCTGCCCCTCTCCCCAGCCCAGTGCGCTTTCTGTGTCTCTATTTCACGATCGCTTTTCTTTCGTCTAATTATATGCACCACTACAAAATTGGTTACTCCTCACCTTTCTTAGGACTGGTTTCAAATCACCATTTAACATAGAACATACGTAGAACAGTACGGCACAGTACAGTCCCTTCGGCCCACGGTGTTGTGCCGAACTTTTACCCTAAACCGAAGGTCTATCTAACCTCCACCCCTACCTTATACTATCATCCATATGCCTGTCTAATAGCCGCTTAAATGCCCCTAATGAGGCCGACTCTACTACCCTCTCCAGCAATGCAATCCACGCCCCTACCACTCTTTGAGTAAAGAACCTACCTCTGATGTCTCCCTATATCTACCTCCACTCACTTTAAAACTATGCCCCCTCGTAATAGCTACCTCCACCCTAGGAAAAAGTCTCTGGCTGTCCACTCTATCTATACCTCTGATCATTTTGTACACCTCTCAACCTTTCCTCGTAAGACCTTCCCTCCGTTCCAGGCAACATCCTGGTAAATCTCCTCTGCACCTTTTCCAACACTTCCACATCTTTCCTGTAATGAGGCGACCAGAACTGGACACAATACTCCAGATGTGACCGAACCAGGCTTTTGTATAGCTGGAGCATAACTTCACGGCTCTTGAACTCAATCCCTCTATTAATGAAAGCTAACACACCATACGCCTTCTTAACAACTCTATCCACCTGGGTGGCAGCTTTCAGGGAACTGTGGACATGAACTCCAAGATCCCTCTGCTCCTCCACACTGCCAAGAATCTTTCCGTTAACCCTGTATTCTGCTTTCAAATTTTTCCTTCCAATATGAATCACCTCACACTTTTCAGGGTTAAACTCCATCTGCCACTTCTCAGCCCAGCTCTGCATCCTATCAATGTCCCTTTGTAACTTAGAACAGCCCTCCGCACTATCCACAACTCGACCCACCTTCGTATAATACACGAATTTACTAATCCACCTTTCCACTCCTTCATCCAAATCATTTACAAAAATCACAAGTAGAAGAGGACCCAGAACAGATCCTTGTGGTACACCACTCGTAACTGAGCACCGTGTTGAATATTTTCCGCCAACTACCACCCTTTGTCTTCCTAAGGGTCAGCCAATTCTGAATCCAATCTGCCACATTTCCTCCTATCCCATGCCTCCTTACTTTCTGCATGAGCCTACCATGGGGAACCTTATCAAATACCTTACTTAAATCCATGTATACCACATCCACTGCTCTATCTTCATCCACGTGTTTGGTCACCTCGTCAAAGAATTCAATAAGGTTTGTGAGGCATGATCTACCGCTCACAAATCCATGCTGACTATCACGAATCAAACTGTGCCTATCTAAGTGATCATAAATCCTATCTCTCAGAGCCTTTTCCAATAACTTGCCCACCACTGACGTAAGACTAACTGGCCTGTAATTTCCGGGGTTATCCCTATTCCCTTTTTGTTTTGAACAAGGGAATGACATTTGCCTCTCTCCAATCTTGTGGCACTATACCCGTGGTCAGTGAGGACGAAAAGATCATCGCCAAAGGCTCTGCGATCTCTTCCCTCGCATCCCATAGAATCCTTGGATAAATCCCATAAGGCCCGGGGGACTTTCTATCTTCAAGTTCCTCAAAATTCCTAGTAGATCTTTCTTACTAACATCCACCTCCTCTAGCCTACCAGCCTGTTTCACACTGTCCTCCTCTACAACTAGGTCCCTCTCAGTTGTGAGTACCGAAGTATTCCTTAAGGACCTCTCCTATCTCTTTAGGCTCCGTGCACAAATTCCCTTTACAATTCATGATCGCCCCTACCCTTTCTCTGGTCATTCTCTTATTTCTCACATACGTGTAAAAAGCCTTGGAGTTTTCCTTGATCCTATCTACCAAGGTTTTCTCATGCCCCCTTATAGCTCTCCTAAGCCCTTTCTTCAGCTCCTTCCTGGCTAACTTGTACCCTTGTAGAGCCTTTTCCATTCCTTGTTTCCTAAACTGTACATAAGCATCTTTCTTCCTCTTAACCAGTCGTTCGACCTCTCTCGAGGACCAAGGCTCCCTCACGCGACCGCATCTTCCCTGCCTGCTAGGAACAAACATATCGAGCACACACAGTATGCATTCCTTAAACACAATCTCCACATTTCTATAGTGCTCTTCCCTGACAGCATCTGTTCCCATATATGTTATCCAGTTCTTGCCTAACAGAATTGTAATTACCTTCCCCCAATTATAAACCTTACCCTGCTGTATGTACCTATCCTTTTCCATGATATTGTAAAAGTAACAGAGTTATGATTGCTACTGCCAAAATGCTCTCCTGCCAACAGGTCTAACACTTGGCCCAGTCCATTGCCGAGTACCAAATCCAAAGTGGCCTCTCCTCGTGTTGGTCTATCTACGTACTGTGTCATTTCTTTGGATTTCTCCTCATTTTAGCACCTTTATTTTAATTCCATGTGAAAGCAGCATTTTCAGCTTCTTACAAGGATACTGTCTAAACTCCCCAGTTTCTTTTAATGCTTGTGGTTTCCCACAGTACCCTCTTGTGATACTGTACTCAATTTTTGAAAGATTTCCTTGGAGCTTAATGCATTTGGACAGCTCATGGTTTCACAGAGTGATTCATATTATTCTAGAAGTACGTGGGAGATTCTTCTGATTTTAAGGTCAAGGTGAAGTCAGCTATTTTCACACAATGTATAGGACTGTATTAAAGTGGCTTGTAGTGAAAACGTTGTGCCCTGTGTTGTGAGTCACATGCCTGGAAGGCCATAATTCTACCCATGGTGTGTGCTGAGGGTGTTGAGCTAAGAACAGGTAGTGCTATTGAGCCCATGATGCATGCAATAAAGGCAAAGGAATGGCATTCCAGGCACCCTTCCTACAAAAAGAAATGACCAGCAAGGTGTAGTGTTGGAGAGTCTAACTGTCTCTCTGTACCAGCAGGCTCAAGTCAGTGCCGTTGCCTTTGTAGGCAGTCTGGTCCATGTTTTCACCTCCCTCTGTAAAGGAGTTGAATCTAAACTGTCCTTTCAACTTCCGTCATCTAAGTTTCAGACTGTGCCTGTTATACATGTCCATGTGCATAAACTGTATTTCAGCCATCTCCTTAGTGATCTTGAATTCTCAGAACCTCTCCTCTCCCACCTGAGCATTCCAAGTTACGGCCTCTTTCCATAACCCAGTGGTTTGTATCAGTTTAGTTTTCTTGTCCTTCGCTGCCCCCTTCTCAGCCTTGGTGTCTTCCTCGTGATATGGAGCTTTGTACAAAACCAGTCACTCCCTAAGGTTTCTGTTTGGTCTGCCTGGCTCTAGAGTCCGCACACTCGATTGTTACTGTACTCCATACTGATGACATTGAGCTCTTATCCACCAATATCCCAGATCCCTCTTGCGTGTCATATCCTGTCAAATCAACTTTCATCGTCACTGTTTTCAATCATTTTCAATCTCGGGACTTCTCCACAAAGACAAAACTGTGCTGCTTGATGAAAATTAAAAAGTGCAGCAATCTGCTACAAACCCAAATGACCAGTCCAGGCATAAGGTTTTCATAGAAAATCTCATTATTTTAGGATATGTTTATTATTCAGTTTGAAGCATTTACTGGTTGAATTGTATCACAGTTCATTACTGATAATTCTTTTTCGTGCAGACTGATATTAGCTGTCCAGGATTTCGAGAATACCACGAGAGACTGCAGACCTTCCTCATCTGGTTCATTGAAACAGCAAGCTTCATTGATGTGGATGATGATAAATGGCAATTCTTCCTAGTGTAAGTGTATATCAGATGCAATGCCTGGACAATTTGTGGCAGAGCTTGTGTTACCTACTGCCTGTATCTAATGTTAAAATCTGAATGATATGCTTAGTTACAGCCGGGGACATCCTACTGACTCAAGGTTGGTGAAGAAAAAATGAGGTGCAATATAACATCAAACCACCACCAATCGCAATCTATTTATCTTCAGTTGGGCGGGAGGAATTGAGAAGTAATTATAATATTCAATTCTTTATCTTTTCTGTGTTGTGCAGGTTTGAGAAATATCTTGAAGATGGCTTGCCACGCTTTGCAACAGTGGGTTATATGACTGTATATAATTTCTATGCATATCCTGACAAAATGAGACCACGGATAGGGTAGGTAACCAGCAACATCACAGACAGAAATGTTCTAGTCCAAAATAAATGCTGATCTAATTGCAAATTATGAGAAATCACAGGATTGTTAGAGTATGGGAGGAGGCCATTTGGTCCATCTCCATCAGTTCTCTGAATGAGCCGTTCACCTAGTGTGATTCCCTGGGCTTCTCCATGTAAACTTACACACTCCCATTTCTGGATAATATTTCAATTCCATAAGATGTAGACACAAAAGTAAGCCATGCAGCCCATTGAGTCTGTTCAACCGTGAGATTGATGAGATTAGTTTAATGAGATCATGGGGTTCATCTGATGATCTTCAACTCTACTTCCCTGCCTTTTCCCCATAACCCTTGATTACTGATTTTAAAAAGTCTGTCTATCTCAGCCTTGGATGTACTCATTGACCCAGCCTTGACAGCCCTGCATGGTAAAGAATTCCATAGGTTTGCTACTTTCTGAGAAAAAATATCCTGCTTGTCGGTTTTAAATATATCATCCCTATTCTGAGTTTATGCCCTCTGGTCCGAGATGCTCCCATAAGGGGAAGCAACCTTTCTGCATCTACCCTGTCAGGTCCCTGAAAAATATTTAATGTTTCAATAAGGTCTCCTCCTCTTCTTCTAAACACCAGTGAGCACAGGTCCAATCTACTCAAGCTCTCCTCGTGAGACATTCGTTCCATACCTGGTATCTGCCTTGTGAACCTTCTCTGGACTGTGTCAAGTGCCAGTCTGTAGCATATAGAAAATTTGTCAGGCATGATTTTGCCTTCATGAAGCCATGCTGACTCTGCTTGATCATATTACGTATTTCTAAATGCTATGTCAGAGTCATACAGCACAGAAACACCCCCCAGTCCAATCGGTCCGTGCCGATCTATAATCCCAAACTAAAACAAAAACAGGAATTGCTGGAAAAGCTCAGCAGGTATGGCAGCATCTGTGAAGAGAAATCAGAGTTAATGTTTCAGGTTCGGTGACCTTCCTCAGAACCTTCGAGTCACAGGGCCCAAAACATTAATTCTGATTTCTCTTCACAGATGCTGCCAGACGTCTGAGCTTTACCACCAATTTCTGTTTTTGTTTCTGATTTACAGCATCCACACTTCTTTCTGTTTTTACAATTCCAAACTAAACTAGTCCCACCTGCCTGTTGCTGGCCCATAGCCCTTTAAACCTTTCCTATTCATGTACTTATCCAAATGTCTTTTAAACTTGTAATTGTACCCATCTCCACCACTTCCTCAGGAAGTTCATTTCACATGTGAGCTACCCTCTGTGTGAAAAATTTGCCCATCATGGCTTTTTAAAATCTCTCTCCTCTCACCTTAAAGATGTGCCCCCAAGTCTTGAAATCCCTCATCCTAGGGAAAAGACAACTACCATTAACTCCATCCATACTGCTCGTGATTTTATAAACTTCTATCAGGTTGCTTCTCAACTTCCTACACTCCTAGCCTATACTGCCTTGAAAACTCAAACTTTCCACACCCAGCAACATCTTGGTAAATCTCTTCTGAACCCTCTCCAGCTTAATAATATGCTTCCTGTAACTGGGCGACCAAAACTGGACGCAGTATTCCAGACGAGGCCTCACCAATGTCCTGTATAACCTCAACATGACTTCCCAACTCCTAAACTCAAAGGACTGAGCAATGAAGGCAAGTGTGCCAAACGCGGCCTTAACCACCCTGTCAACACATGATGCAAACTTCAAAAAATTATGTACCCGAACCCACCAGGTCCCTTTAATAGAAGATCATAGAATCCCTACAATGTGGAAACAGGCCCTTCGGCCCAACAAGTCCACACCGACCCTCCAGGCATCCCACCCAGACCCATCCCACTATAACCCACCTAATCTACACATCCCTGAACACTACGGGCAATGTAGCATGGCCAATCCACCTAGCCCGCACATCTTTGGACTGTGGGAGGAAACTGGAGTGCCTGGAGGAAACCCACGTGAACACTGGGAGAATGTGCAAACTCCAGACAGACAGTTGCCTGAGGCTGGAATCAAACCCGGCTCCTTGGTGCTGTGAGGCTGATGCCACTACCCAAGACACTACCATTAATTGTATAAGCCCTACCCTTGCTTGTTGTACCAAAATGCAATACCTTGCATTTATCCAGATTGAACTGCATCTGCCACTTTTCAGCCCATTGACCCATTTCATCAAGATCCCTTTGTAGTCTTAGAAAACCTTCTTCACTGTCTACTGTGCCACCAATTTTGGTGTTGTCCGCAAACTTTACTTGCCATGCCTTCTATATTCTAATCTAAATCATTTATATAACTGACAAACAAAAGAGGACCCGGAGCCAATCCCTGTAAAACACTGCTGGTCACAGGCCTCCAATCTGAAAAGCAACCCCCACCCCACCACTACTCTCTGTCTCCTGCCTTAAGCCAATTATGTGTCCAGCTGGCAAGCTCACCCTGCATCCTGTGACCTAACTTTACTAATTAGTCTACCATGTAGAAACTTGTCAAAGGCTTTACTAAAGTCCAAGCAAACAACATCTACTGCTCTGCCCTCACCATCTAAACCTCTAACACAGTAGTAGCCCCGGTCAATGGAAAATTAAAATCCCCTATTATTACAACCTTATTATGTATCTGAGCTCTCCCCTACATATTTGTTTCTCAATTTCCCTCTGACTATTGGGGGGCCTACAGCACAATCAACAAGGTGATATTTTTTTTTCTTTTTTTTCTAATTTCTACCCATATATTTTCACTGGATGATTTTTCACAAATGTCTTCTCTAGTTAATC